GTGAGCAGACAGCAGAGAGGAAACACTTGCCCTGGCTTGGGTGGGAGTTGCCTTGCTGCAAGGCAGTGCAGCATCTCTGCAACGTAGCCGAGGCCCTTATGCCCAGCCTGGGGCTTTGTTGGAAGGAGAAATGCCACCAGGGCTGCTGTGTGGCCCGTGCCACAGCTGCTAACATCTGCACGGGTGAACATCAGGCAGACACCGGTGTGGTACCCTCCTCCGGAGGTGCCGTCCTGGAACTTCTTGGTGCTTCTCCACCCACATCCCGGGTGTCCATGGGTGAGCCACACTAGCCCGGGGGCTCTGCCTCCCTGCTGCAGAGGTGCTCGGCTTGGCAAGGCTTCCCCTTTGCAAATGGGGAAAACATCTCTTCCTAATCCAGCAGGTAATGAATCTGTTCCTGGGGAAAAAAAAAAAAAAAAACTTCCATTCCTGCCTGGTTATAAACATGTTTGAGTCACAGCTACCCAGTCCCAGTTTGAAATTTGGCCAGAGCACTGTAGATTATCCTTTTTTTTTTTTTTTTTTTTTAGTTTTATTTTATTTTTTATTCTCTCAGCATAGCTAAAACCATATTTGAAAAAGAAAATCAAATCAGGACGCCAAAAGCCACTTTCTGATATGAGTGTGGCCCATCAGATCTCCTGGGAGTATCAGCCAAGGAGGGAGAGCCTGTCCCCCCCCCCCTCCAGACCCTGCCTGGGCGAGATGAGGAGCAGCCTCCGGCTTTCCGAGCAACCCCGGGGCTCGGCAGAGGATGCTTTTAACATTATTGCCCGTACCCGGAGAGGAGAGCTGTGCAAAGGGGTGCAATAACTGCACGGGGGGGGGGGGGGGGGAGCTTTGCATCTGCTTCAAGGCGGGAAGGGCTGGCAAAGGGGCAAAGGCAGGGAGGGGGCTCGGCTTGGATCCCCCCCCGCCTTGCTCTGGCTGCAGCCGGGGGAAGTAAAGCCGAGCCCCGTTGGTGCCGGAGGGTGGGATGGGCGGCGGGGGGTGCGGGGGGGGGGCAGCGGCCGCTAGATGGCAATGCCGGAGCGGCGGCGGCCCCGGCTGCATCCCTGCGGCGGGGGTGATGGGGGGGGCTCGGTCCTCCCCTGGGGGTGGGGGGGGGGGGGGTGGCCCAGCCTCTCCGGTGATGGTCTGCCGCGCAGGGGTCGTGGCATGGCTGGGAGAGAGGAAAAAAAGCAAGGAAAAAAGCAAGGAGGAGGCTTGGATGGCAGTATCAGTGTGTGTGTGGGGGGGTTAGCCGGTCTCTAAAAGCCAAGCGCATCCCGAGCGCTTTCCTGTCCTGGCACCCGCTGTTGCCCTGTCTTCTTGGATTTCCTTCATTCACAAAAAAAATACCCAAACAACCCCACATAGCTGGCTCTGAATCTCTGTGCCATGTTGAATCATGCGGGCATCAGCCACGCTTCTCCCTGACTCACCGATCCCAGCGTGCTGGGGTGAGGGTCAAGACGAGAACGGCAATAAACATCCTTGGAAACCGAGCCTGCATCTCTTGGCATAACCAGGGACTTTTTTCTTTTTCTTTTTTTTCTTTCTTTTTTTTTTTTTTTTTTTGCTTTCAATCTTCTCTTAAGGAGCTGCTTTCTCATAAATATCCCATCCTTTAGCACCGTCTGAGCGGGAGAGAGGCTCCCAGCGGGGTCATCCTGTGCTCCGCTCTGCAGCTGCAGCTGAATGTAGAGTAGAGGCGAGAGCGAACCCGGGGGGCACAGGGGACAGCCGGCTGTCCCAGCAGAAGTGTCCAGGTAAGGAGTGCACCCCTGCTTCGAGGGGACAGGAGGAACGATGTCTGCCTTCTCCTCGGCCTCTTGCACCGCTCGGGAGCGGCGAGGCAGGCATGGTGCTTCTGAGCTGGGTAGGGGATGAAGGGGGAGAGCTGGGTCCAGCCTTCCTCATCCTCCTGGTACCAGCCTGAGCGTTTAGGCTGGGTGGGTGGAGGCTTGCCTGCAGGCTCAGGGGGATGGGAGAGGGCTGGGGGGGCAGGGGGGGGGGGGTCGGCAGGGGAGCTCTTCAGGGCTGAGGAGCTGCTCCTGGCAATCGGCCCAGCCTTGGGCTTAATTAACAGCAGCTTAAAGGGTTGAAAGGTGGGAAGAGCGGCATCGCTCCTGATGCTGCGCTGGTGGTGGGGAGGAGGAGGAGGAGGAGGCAAAGGGGGATGAGCCACAAAGCATAATTGATTCGTTTAGGGCAGCGTCTTGCCTGGAATGAATCGAAGGGACTGTAATGAGTTGGTAGCTGGCGTGGCCTCCTCGCTGCCTTGTTGTGAGTGGAACGAAAGCGCAGGGTCAAGCTGGCTTGCGCTGGGGGTGGGCAGTGGCCTGGGAAGCATTTTGGGAGGGATCTGCCCACCCTGGCTCCACTCGGTACTGGACTGTGGTGGTGACGTAGCTGGGGGGCTTGCTGAAACCCCCCAATTACACCCACCCCTGTTATAAGGCTAATTGGAAGAGCGAAGTCAGGTAGGGATGCAGCAGATGGTCATCGTGGTGAGCTGGTGGGCTCTCGGTGTCTGGCTGAGGCTGGGGGAATGATCTCACAACCTTTTTTTTGCAAACATTCCTCTGTTACCTTGCTGAGGAGGGCCTGATCCTTCCTCTTCCTTGCTCAGTCAGCCCAGGGGTTCCTGGCAATGCACCCGTGAGAGCCTGGGCCAAAAAGCGAGCCCTGTGGCTGTTGGGTCTCGGTTGTTCCTGCAGGATGGGGAAGTCTGTGGTGAGGTGCTGCCAGGCTGCACCAAGAGAGCAGCCCTTGACCAAATGAGTTAATGATTTATGTGATTAAGGGCTTGATTTTTTTTTTTTTTTTTTTTTTTTTTTGTTGTTGTTGTTGAGCTGCCACAAGTGCTCCTGGCTTCACAACAGCAGATGTGGGGGACAGGGCAGCAGCCACTGTTTGCAGAGCAGGTTGCTGCTGGTGGTGGGGTGGATGGAGGAAGAGCACCACAGGGATGCGGGGTGCTTTGTGATGCTGGCTGGAGCTGTCGGTTCCCTTCCTCCAGGAAGGGTTGGGTATCAAGTGCTGAAGGCCCCGGGAGCCCTTTGGACTCGGGGTTGAACGGGAGGGGTGGGGGGAATCCTGCGTGTGAACAGGTCGCAGGGGGTGCTGAGCAGTGAGGCTGGTGCCCTGCCCGTTGGGTAGGGAGGATATTGGGGACACCCCCGGGGGAGCCGGGAGTCCCCTGTGTGTGCCAGGAGGGCAGAGCGGGTTCCCCAAAGGTGGGTGGGCAGGCAGCACTCCCCCCACCCCCCGCAGCAGGGCACAGCCCAGCCCAGGGAACCCTGAGCATCCCTGGGTGACCTTGGCACCCGCATGGCTTCAGAGGTGAGGGCATAGCACCGGCAATGTCTCCAGTCCTCTGCCTGCAGTGGGATGACTGGGGGGAGTGGGGTCAGAGCCCAGACTGGCCCCGGCCCCCCCCTCCGTGGCAGCTGCTGCAGAGACACATCCAGACTGGGTTGTTTACACCTCTCCGATGAGCTGCTGCTTCTTCTGGCCAACATCAAATATCAAAAAGAAAACGCTGGGGGTGTGTGTGTGTGTGTGTGTGTGTGTGTGTGTGTGTGCTGAGGAGGCTGATCTGTATGCAAGTGAGCGGGAGGGCTCTCCCCGGGCAGCCGCTGGCATCGCGGCAGCTCCAGCGGGGAGCCGGCAGCCTCCAAGTTTCCCAGGGATGGGGGGGACGGTGCATGTGGCTGGAGAGATGCTCAGTGCGGGCTGAGGTGGGGTGAGCCTGCAGGCTGGGGGGGAGGCAGAGCCCCCTTTTACCACCCCTGCCCCCCAATTTAGCCACTCACCTAGGAGCACCCATGTGCTGGAAAGTCCTCTGCAGCTGGGCTGGGGTGCATGTGTGTTTCTTGCAAGGTGGGGGCTCCCCGATTGCCTTTGTTTCCCCTCCCTTTGCCTCTGAATATTTTTTTTTTTTTTTTTCCTCCTTTGCGGCAGCTCCCGTGCTTGCCAACAGAATGCACTGGATGGAGCGAGGGAGCGAGCCGGGCGTGCGTGTGCGTGTGTGCGCGCTTGTGTGCGCGTGTGTTGCCACTGACTTCATTAAAGCAAGCTGTCCCTGAGCTGCAGAGGCGCGGCAGCCTTTTAATTTCGTGGCCCGGCTCTTGCGGGAAGCCGGCGTCGCCTTTGCGCGCTCCTGCCCTGGCAGCTAAAGGCTGAGCATCCCTGCCCACCGCAGGTGCCTGCCTGGGGAGGGGGGGGGGACACACTCTGCCTGCCGTCCCTCCCCGCTGCCCCGGGGGAGCCAGCGGATGGGTGGCCGGGCTCCGGCAGGCTGCTGAAGATGGAGTCTGGAGGAGGGAGTTGGACACTTGGCTCCAACTAGGCTGGACCACGCTGCAACCTGTTCCCCCGGCCTCCCCTCCGCCGCTGCGCTGGGTGCTGTACCAAACTGCGTCTTCCTTTTGCGACGGGGCGGATGGAAGGACTTGGATCCCAGCCCTTTCCCTGCCTGATCTCTGCCGGCAGGCAGTCCCCAGGCTCGAATTGGGGGGGGGGGGGGGTGGTGGGGGGTGGTGGTTAAAAGATGCTGGTTTGGGCTTTGCAGGCAGAGCCAGCAGTGGGAAAGATGGGGCTGGGTTTAACCCCTTGCTTTGTGGCGGAAGGTGCCTAGGGACTGAGCTGCTGCAGCCTCCGCCGAGCACGAAGGACGGCTCCCTGCCCTCCCCGCTGCCCGTGAGGCTGTTGGGGGGGGGGGGGGGGCGGGGGGGGGGGCCCGGAGGCAGCCAGCTGCCCACCATGCCGTGCCGGAGGCTGAGCCGGTGCCGCGCGCTGCTGCCTCTCCTTCTCCATGCTGGTCCCTGCTCCCCCAAAGGGATGGAGGAGAGACGGAACTGAGCATCACCCGGAGAGGAGGAGGAGGGGGCTGTGGTTGGGACTGCGCCCCGCAACCCCCCTCCCTCTTCTTCCCCCCCCCCCCCCCCAATCTCCCCCCACCCCGCTGCCTCGGTGGTGCTGTTTCGGCTCACCTGTGTGTTTTCTTCCAGGATGGCTCGCTTTGGGGAGGCGGTGGCCGGCAGGCTGGGCTCCGGAGATGGGGGCTCCGACCAGAACCGGAGCCGGCAAGGACCTCCTGCCCCTGCGGGAGGGACCCCAGGAGCCTTCAAGCAAACCAAAGCGCAGAGAGCCCGGACTATGGCTCTGTACAACCCCATCCCCGTCCGACAGAACTGCTTCACCGTCAACAGATCGCTCTTCCTCTTTGGGGAAGAGAACATAGTCAGGAAATACGCCAAGAAGCTTATCGACTGGCCATATCCTTTCTGCGCCCCTCTGCGAGCCCCCCCCCCGCCCCCTTTGCTCCCCGGATTTGCCTTGGTGGCCACCCAGGACACGTGCGTGTGGCAGTAGCCGGCAGGTAAGCGACTGCCTTCTGCTCTCCTTCGGCGTGCGGAGAGGGGTGCCCCGTCCCCTAGGGATGCTCTCCTCGCCCTGTTGCTGCTTCCCCTCCCGTGCTCTGCTCGGTGCCTGGCGGGGAGCTGAGCCCCTTCTCCCCATGAGGAGCACCCCCCTCCCGGCCCCCCCCTCAGGCTTGGATTTGGAAGCCCCCATGCTAGCAAGGAGGGGTGCCTCTGATCCCGGTTTTACTCTGCATGCTTTAGGATGCTCTGTGCGCGTGTAGCTGTGAGGGGGGTGGGTGGGCAGGGGGGGTTTGAGGCCTTTCCTCCGTGTCTCAATGTCTTGCTGGAGTTTTGCCACCCCACTCGGAGCCACCCATCCCATTGGGGATGGATTCCCGGGAACCCACAAATCTCCAGTCCCTGCTGAGTGAGTGGCGGCTTTGTCCCCTCATGCGCCAGCCGGCGTGTACCCCGCTTTGCTGCTGCTCATACCTGGCAGGGGCACAGCCATCCTCACCCCGCAGCCCCCGGCTCCCCCCGGCAACTCTGGGAACTGGCTTCCCCCTCCCTGCAGCAGAGGGGAAGATGCTGAAAACCTCTGACTGTGCCCCACGGCCCCTTGAGGGGCTGGCGCGGGGGACCGTGGTTTATCCCAGGAGCTTGGGTGGAGGGTGCAGATCCCCCCGCTCCTTCCCCTACTCCCCCACCCTTTCATACACCTCCGTGTGCTTCTCTCCCCTCCCACCCTCCTTGCAGGTGCCCCCGGGTGCCGTGGCCGGTGCCCAGCACCGCAGCACATAGCTCCCCATCAACCTGTGCTCAGCACCCTGCAGCTCCCTAAAACCCCTTTTGGGCTTTGCCCCAAACCGAGGAGCCGAGCCTGAAAACTTCAGCGTGGCCACGCTTTGGCTTTAGGTCCCTCCCCGTGCCGTTTTCTGCAGTGGTGATTACATGCAGCTCTTGCTGCTGCTGCTTTCTCTCCCTGCAACTTGTTGGTTAACTTGCCGGCTCCTTTGGCGGGTGCGGGAGAGCTTGCCCCAGTGCCAAGCAGCAACGCTTTGGTGCAACAGGTACCTCGGGGAAACCCTCCGGCGAGACGCGGGGCTGCAGGACAGGTCACCCACCCCGCTGAGCATCCCTGGGGAAATAGCCCCTTTGTAGCTCCGACACGTCAGGTAGAGCTTCTTACGGGCAGGAGGGGCAGCTTGGGGGGGATGGGGAGGGGTGTGAATAATTCCCTAAATCTGCCCCTGGTGCCAGCACCCAGCTGGGTGGGTGGCTGCAGGAGCACCGGTGTGGTAGCGAGGATGGGGACGCGGCAGCTCAGCTCGGAGCCCTGCAGGGCAGCGGCCAGGCCAGCCTGCCTGCTTTTCCAGAATATGCCAAATTATTCATGTGTTTTTTCAGCGCGGTGTGGGAGGGCCCTCGCCCCTTCGGCTTTCATTTAAAGCAAGAAGGAGCTGGGGTGCTGCCGCTGGCCCGGCGCTCCCCGCGTGGGCCGGGGTCCCGTGCCGGCGTGATGTCTCATCTCCAGGCAGCCGCTGTCTCCTAGAGACTAGAGCTTCACCACCACACGGTACAAACTCCCCAGCATTATTCTTTCCTGGAATTTGCAATGCATGAGGGAGATGGGCTCATTTTATTTATATATATATATATATATATATATATATATATTTTTTTTTTTTTTTTTTTTTTCCCCCCAGAAGTAAGTGACATATCCCTGTGTAAGTGCTAGGAACGGGTGAGCTCCAGGTGCAGGAGCTGAGATCCCCGGCTGTCCCTCGCCTGGCTGCCATCTCTTTCTAAGAAACTCCTCCACCCCAGAGCTCCTCCTCAATGCTTGAGCTCTCGAGGGCTTGGGGCTGGGCAAGGCTTTTTGGTGATGAGTTTGGTGAGGTTGGCCAGGCAAGTTGTTCCCATCCTTGTAGTTGTAGCCTGGCACGCGCAGCCGGTGCCTTTTGGTAGGGCCAGGGAAAACGTGTGAGCATCTCAGCTGCCTGGCCTGGAGCCCGTGGCATCGCTCCTGGGCGAGGGTGGTGTGGGGAGGTGAGCGTTGGATCTTGGCCACAGTCAGTGAGAGCTGCTGGCCTTGGGAGGGAGGTGGCCAGTTCCCAGTGCTGCGGGTTGGAACGGGCACGGCGCTGAGGAAAGCCAAGGGGGCTGGGGTGGAGCGCGGGGAGGAGTGGAGGCTCTTCTTCATCCAGCTCCAGTTGACTAGGTAATAGGGCTAAAAATAACTGGTGATTCAGGCCTGTATATCTGCTGGGTAACTGTATAATTATAACCAGCAGCCTCTGCAGTTTGGCTTCCCAGTGTAAATAGGGATGATGCATGGAGGGGAAGAAGGAGAAATACGAGAAACTGGAATTGGGATGCAGCACTGTGGGGAGACAAGTCTTTGCAGAGTTCCTCGCTGGAAAGCCCAGCGCCTTACCTCCACTGGAGCTGCTCTTTATACTGGTCGTACCCAAAAGGTGAGGCAGCTGCTGTTTTGGCTGTAGGAACATCTACTCTTCTCCTTCAGAAACACAGCCTCGTCCTGCCTGCTCTCTTCCAGCTGATGGCCAGGCCTTTAGCCCTGATTTCATTTGTTTGGCTGCCTGGAAAGCTGCAATTCAGTTAGCACATGAGATGGGCTGCAGCTCATCTATATCTGCTCCGTTCTTCATTCCGCTTAATCACATTTGACCTGGATAAGATCCCTCTCCTGCCTCAGAAAGGCCAGATGACATTGTGTGGCTCTGGCTCTGTCCCCAAGGACAGCCCCCGACTGCAGGCGCACACCGGCGGCTGTACCTGTCCCTCTGGTTTGGCAGGGGAGAGGGGTGTCCATCAGTCCTCCGGGGCTTTGCTGTTCCCCCCAAGTGAGGGATTTCTCCTATCTCAGCCCCTCTGAGGGCTAAATCTGGTGTTGGGCTGGCCAAGAGCAGCTGGGGTGTCTGCAAAGCCCCAGTGCGCATCCCCGGTCCAACACGCATGGGGGTTTTGCTCCGTAGGATGCAGACCTGGACTGTTGTGCTCACGATGGCTCCCACTTTGATCCGGGCATCTCTGATGCTGCGTGGGCACTGCCCCTCGGGGACCCTGGCAGCGTTAGGTACCACCTGGGCAAGCATCTTCTGCACCTTTGCTTTTGCCCAGCCAAGATTTTGGCGGGTCTCACCTCCCCCCTGGGAAGAGCTACACCATGTCGTGCCATCCTTGGGCAACTCCCTCCTTGCGCTATCCAAGAACATCTCTTTTTTTTTTTTTTTTTTTTCCTTCTGAGGCTGTTTTCTGTGCCCTTCATTCATCAGATTTTAAAATGTGGTGGTTTTTTTTCTTTTTGGGGAGGGGCGAGTAGGTGTAATGGCAGGTCCATCTTTTTGACAGCTGGGGAGAGCGAGGCTGCCTGTCAGATGGTGAATTTAAACAGAGGCAGCTGTTGTCATGGTGACGCCAAGTTGCATCCTGTTGCTGTGGCAACCAAAGTTAAAAAACTGATGTTAAGGCAGGAAAATCACATGATGTGGTTCTTTTTTGTTTAAAAAAAAAAAAAAAAAGAAAGGTGGAGAGAGAGATATTTGATTTCCAGTTTTTAAGCACAGGGTGAGGTGGGGGAGAAGGAGACACTTCTCCGTGGAGCTGTTTGCACATGGCAGGCAGGCAGGCACCCCACATCCCCACGGCAGCTCCTGGCTGACACCGCCTTTGGTTTAGCCCCTGATGGAGACCAGACCCCGCCACGTTTTGGAGTCGAAAGCGGCAACACCTATGCTGCAGAAAGCAAGCGGGCTGGTCCCCAGTTTGAGGCCCGTCCGTGCAGTGAGATTTAAGCAGGCTGAGCACCTTGCCTGGGTGCTCCCCGCGAGCTGTGCAGAGACACAAGCGTGACCCCAGGCCCACGCTTGCTGTCCTGAGCCCGTTTTGCTGTGCGCAGCGGGCACAGCGGGGGCTGGCTCACGTTCAGGGCGTGGTGGGGAGGATTTGGGGTCTGTCGGCAACTTGTCCCTCCAGACATCACCCTCTGTCAACCCCAGCAAAACACGGGTGAGCCGAGAGTGCTGGATGGTGGAATGTGGGGATGGGGACGGGGACAGCCCCAAGAGGTCATGGCTCAACAGATGCTTGAGGGCACTGGATAGCCTCACCTGCTGGGGGAAGATCCCCCATGTCCTCGTGGTGCTGTAGGGCTGGGGAACCCCAGAGTTGAATTGGGACAACTCGCGGTCTTTGCTCCATTTGGCGTTTTGGGTTTCTTTTGGAAAACAGGCTTGGAGAGGAGGTGCTTGCTTTCCTGCTGCGGTGTGGAGCTGAGAGGAGAGGGGTCAGGGCATCCTAGGGGTGGAGGTGTTGAAGAGATGGGTCTGTCTTCTCATCACACCATGTCTGTGTAGGGCAGGCAGCAGTGGTGGGGTTGGGACCAGCAAGATGAACTCCCCAGCTGTAGGAACTGATGCTCCCTCTCATTGGCACCCAGGGAGCAGGGAAAGCCCCTTGGTGCAGCAGGTCCTGAGGGAAGCCCGGGGAGCGGTGGGAAATGGGGACTTGAGTTTCTAGGAGATGTTGGACGGGTGATGCAGGCAGGATGAGAAGTTAAATCGTTTCTGCCCTTCTTGCTGGTGCTCTGAGGTAGGCTTCCCCAGGAGGCCTTCTGGAGATGCCCACGTGGCCTCACTCCTCTGGATCTTCTGCTCCTTGCCCACCTGCCTGCCCAGGAGTGGGGAGAAGGCACGGTCACTGGAGAGATGGAGGGGGACTTTCTGCAGCTCCCAGCCCTTGCCCACATCCGGGGAGGGATTTATCTCGCACCCAGCCTCTTTGGGAGGTTGCATCCATGTGCCATCAGCACCATAAATCCATCTTCAGGGCTTGGAGTTGAGCGCACTGCCTGCTTTAGCAACATAGATGTTCTGGATGGGCTGGTTTTGGCTCCCGGTTGGAGAGGGAGGTGAAGAGGAGGGTGGTCACAGCTGGAAACCAGGATCCACCGGTGGTTGGTTGGACATCTCCCTGGTATTCCCTGCCAGCTCCACCAAGGAGCTCCAGCTCCAGGCATGGAGGGTTATCCATCAGTGGCTGCTCCAGGTGAGCTGGGGCATGGGTGTGTGGGGGGGTCCACATGGCCTGGGGGCACCTTTCCCAACTCAAATGCACCGGGAGGGAGGTGTGGAACTGCAGGTGTGGCGTGAACTGGGATCGGCCAAGTTGCTAAGGAAACAAGTCAACGGTGCAGGGGAGAGAGCGTTGGGTAAAGGAGATAAATCAATAAGAAAACCTATTTTTATCGGCTCCCTAATGATCCTCCAGGAGAAGCCAGACGAAGGAGGAGGAGAAGGCTTGAGGAAGATGGGCTTTCATTACCGGGCTTGGAGGGAGGCAAGTGCTACTCTGCGGTTTGGGCGGCTGGAAGGTTGTGTAATTAGACATCTAATGAGAGAGGCAACAAAGGAGTGATAGCGCATTGTCTGGTGGGCTCTGGCCCTGAGCTGGGAGGATGCTTGCTTGGCAGAAGCGAAATGTGATAAAATTTCCCCCCAGTTCAGCCAGATGTTCCTGCTGTCCCTTAGGAAAGGTTTTCTTACCCTTGGCCTCTCAAAACCTGGCACAGCTGGAGCTACGGAGGCTTGTTTCTGTGGGGTTGATGCCTTGTAGCTCTCGCCCAGCTCCAGACGTGATAACCCAGGCTCAGGTCCTTGGAAAACTGGGCCAGCGGGGTTTGGAAAGTCACTTTTGGCAGTGACCTTGTGCTTAAGTCATCGCTTAGGGCAGCGATTGCTCTGTTTCCCTTAGACTCGGTATTTGCTGACCCACGTGCTCGCTGGAGGTGGAATGGGGACGCCGTCCCGTGCTGGGGCTGTGATAGATGTGCACTCTCCTTGTGCTGTTGAGCCAGATGTTGGAGCCACCAAGGAAATAATAGGGGTGATCTGGGTCCATTAGAGGTGGTCCTGAGCCCCCCTGTCACTGCCAGGCAGGGTTCCCATGCTGCTGGCCTTGGAGAAGTTGGGTTTTTCCCACCTGGGTGTTTCCCCCGTGGGATTGGCGGCTGCAGGAGGGAGGGAAGGTGGTGGTAGATGCCCGACGCGGTGAGGAGGAGCGCGGGATGCTCGGTGGGGTTGGGCGTGCTGGGGCGGACAGACGGACTCGCCGCGCCGTTCCCACACTTCTCATCTAGGCAATTGTGCCTAGCGCCTGGGGAGCTGGCTGCACCGCCCCACTAACACGCTGTTTTCTTTTAAGCCTGTGCTAATTGCTTGCAGACTTTCAGGAAAATGAAACAAAAAGACCCCAAATAGGCCGGTGGCTTGGGGCCAAGTGCTGCAGTCTGCGTATCGGCTGAAGTGTGAAGCAGGGAAAGTCCGTGGCTTTTGCAGGAGCCATGCGATGATATCCTCACCTGTGTTAAGCCTCGAAGGAAAACTTTTGGGGTCTGGTCTCCCCCCCTGAGCCCAGGGAGCTGCTCATGATTTGTGCCCGGCTGGCACTGAGGTCCAAGCCCACAGCAGTGAGCTCTGCAGTGGTCTCTCTTTTGGTTTGCCTTTAACTTAGCAACCATTAATTTCACTGAGTGGCCTTTTAAATGCCTTGGCTGAATCTTTCCTGGCTCTTCTCCCTACTGGGACAAATACACCCCAGCTCCTGCAGGCTCTCCTTGGCTGGCCCTCCTGGCCACTTCTCCAGGGACCTGCTCTGGTGCCCGGCCCCACTCCCACCTTGCCTGTGTGCGTGGGGTTGCTGCCGCCGGGGTTGCTGCCATCGAGGTCACTCCATGGTTTCCAGTTTCCCGTGCTCGCGGCCAGCACTGGGATGTCTTTGCTTGCCCGTGGGCTCAGGGCCACTGGTTTAAAACATCTTGCTGTAGTCAGCGGCTTCGGCGGCCAAAAAGCAAAGTTGCAAAAGAGAAAATCATCCCTTTTCCTGGGGGCGTTTGGCACCTCCTGGCCTGGGCGGTGCAAACTGGGTCTAGAGAAACCCGCTGTGGTGGGGAAGTGCTCATCTGAGGGGCTGCTCCCAGTTTCGGCTTGGGATGGTGGAAGCACGGATGATTTCATTACGGGCAAACTGCACCCCCTTTCCACAGCCTCAGGAAGGTGGCTGTCTCGTCCTGGGGCGGCTGCTGACGCTGGTGGTGACAGTAATACAGCTGTGGGGTTTTGGCATGGGGGGAGCGGAGAAGGGGTGTGCTGCCTGTTGATGAATCTCACCTCGTTTTGTTATTGAGGACAGCAGGGCTTTTATTGCAAAGATGTGGTAAAGACGGACGGGAAGTCAGAAAGATGTGGCCGTCCTGTTGCTTGGAAGTGCTTTGCTTTTGGGGCTTGGCAGTGGGCCAGGCAGGAGGAGGGAGCTCCACACCCCCACCTCGCTCCCAGCGGCCCCTGTGAATCAAAAAGCAGGAGGGAGCTGAGTTTGGGGTGTTCTCCTGGGCATCAGCCTGCCCTTTCCTCCGCCTCCCCACTCACTCAGGTCCTCAGATGCCAGCATCTGTTGCCACTTGTCCTGGTGCGGGGTCGCTCCCAGAAAAGGGTGTGTAAGCCCTAGACACGGCTGTAGGATTTAGGATGCTCCTAAGGGTCCAACCAGATCCTGCTGATAAGGTGCCGCTACCCACTGGGGTCTCGCTGAAGCATGGCTCAGCTGGGATGCCTCCATAGGGAGTTTCCACCCTCCTTGAACTGAAGCTCAGACCCAGGCACCATCAGTTGTCTTGAGTTGCGAGGGTCTCAGCCCAGTGCTCTGCAGCTCGCCGCGGTGCCTGGGCTCATCCTGCCACCCACAGGGTGCTTGGCAGGGGCCCCTCGGTTCCCAGGGCACGTCCACCTTGCCAACACGGGGCACAGGGTGGGCTGATCCCGGTTGGATCCTCAGGACCTGCGCGGGATGCCCTGTGCTCAGGCCGTGCGGGTGGTCCTTCCCATGGGGATGATGCTGTAGGACCACGGCTGCTGAAAGCCTGTGACAAGCCCCCTCCAACCCCCATCTACTGCTGCCTCGTGATGGAAGAGAGAAGGCACCATGGCATGCAGGGCCATGGCATGCAGGGACGTGCAAGGCCTGGCCACCAGCATGCAACACCAGGGAGAGCCTCCCTGATGCTGCCAGGGACCATGCCAAACCCTCTTCCAGATGAAGCCCAGCCTGGTTAGAACCTGACTGTCCTTCTTCTGGGCTCCCACCACGAGCAGCATGTCTCCACCAAGAGTGTTCACAGCCCAGCAAAGGCCGTTGGTTAACGTCCCATGAACTGGGGGAGGAGGTAATGAGTCTCAGCAGGTCTCTAGTGAGGAAGGTCTCAGGGCCTTTTGGTCCTTTTGTCACCCCGCTTCATTTCCAAACAGCACCATGGTGGGCATCACCCACCATGGAAGGTGAAAGCTGGGCTCGGTGCGTGCGTGTTGCTGCGGGGAAAGTGGTGGTGGTGGCTAATGCGCAGGTGAAACGAAGGGTGGGCAGGGTCAGGGACATCATCCACCTCTTCTCTGCTCCTTAACTCTCCTCCACTCCCTTCGAGTACATGATCCTGGCGACCATCATAGCCAACTGCATCGTGCTGGCCCTCGAGCAACACCTCCCCGAGGATGACAAGACGCCCATGTCACGGAGATTAGTAAGTATCCCGTGTCTGTCCCCCTCTGCCCTGTGTCAGGGGGTCTGGCGGGTGAGCAGGGGCATCGACCAAGGGGAGACACCATGTACTACCAGATAACTTCTGGTTTCAGGGTGGTAGGGCAGGAGGTTTCCTCTGGGACCAGCTCCTCCAGCCTTCTTGGGACTGCTGTCACATACTCCACCTCTATGGAAAGGGTTCAGGAAGATTTAAGCCCCTTAAAAAGTGGGGTAGGGAAGGGGGACTAGCCACCCTTTTTTTATTTCCAAGGTTGATACTGGCTGAGGAAGGGCTGGGAAAGCTCCCAAAGGAGAGGATGGGGCTGGGGAAAGTGGGATGGGATATAAGTTGGGTCAGTGTGAAATGGCTGGCGCCGTGTTTGCCCAGTGTCCCCCCCCTCACTGTGTCACTGTTTCCCCTCTGGCAGGAGAAGACGGAGCCCTACTTCATCGGGATTTTCTGCTTCGAGGCTGGGATTAAGATCGTGGCTCTGGGGTTTGTTTTCCACAAGGGCTCATACCTGCGCAACGGCTGGAATGTCATGGACTTCATTGTGGTCCTCAGCGGGTGAGTCACGCGGCACGGGGCTATTGGTGGGGTTGGGCAACTGAGCATGGGGACTCGTCCCGGTGGGGATGTGAGCTCCAGGATGCAGGGTAAAGCCCTGGTTTGCTGCTGTTGGTGGTGTTTCTTCATTCCAATGAGGGAGGGGGGAGAGGATGGTTGCCTGTGCTGGAGGCTCCTGCATTGGCTTTGCTGTGGTGGGCAGCTGATGGTGGGACAAGGTTCCCCATGGGGTGAGGAGGGCTGGAGCTGAGGGCACCATGTCTAGCTTTTCTCAGCTGGCATCTGTCACCCATCTGGGCATGGGGTGAGGTAGGAACGTGGCCTGATAAGCAACTGGACATGGTCTGGCAGAGATTTTGGTCAAACCCTATGTGGGGAGGGAGAAAATCTCTTCTCTTGCCTTCCCAAGTACTTTCCAGCCTTGGCCCGGTGCTGGGAATTTGGGAATGAGGTCTGGGTGGGACTGGGCTCCCAGGTGCTGCTTGCTCAGCGTCCCAGGGTGCAGCCGTGATGCTGGGGGTGGTAGCACACAGAACCTCACGGGTGCTGGTTGTGTCACTGGTGGTGTCACCTGCCAGGGATGTGGCCCAGATTTGAGTCCTGCTTGCGGTGTGACGGGCTGTGCTGGTGACATAGAAACGAGCAGGGACGTTTGGGCTCGTGCTAGACTGGCTTGAGCAGAAGCCACCAGGGGTGGCCCCCCTGGGCTGTGTGAAGGGGAGGTGGGTGCCTGCAGACACTGAGGAACCCCGGGGATGGGTGCCTGGCTTGTGGCCATTTCTTTTTGTGTGCTGGTGGAAGCGCCACGTTCAGAGGAACTGGTTTGATGTGTAAAAACAGATGGTGCTTGTGGATCTCCGAGCACTTCATGAGCTCTGCTGGGTGCAGAGGAGCTGCAGGGCTGGCTGGGAAACTGGGGCACAGGAGTTAGGTGAGATACTTGAGGTGTTTCCCCACTTGTTTGCTGCACAGTCCTGGCTCTTGGCTTGCAGGGTGGTGGCACCGCATGGGATGTGACACCCATTTGGGTGTTCGGAGGAGGAAGGGGGATGCTGAGCCTGGTGCTACCAGGGACGTGGTAATGGGTGCTGCTTGTCCATGGTTGGAGAGGTGCAGGTTGAGACTGTGCTTGAGAGAAGGCCTGAGGAGAAGGTGCTGCAGAATGCTTTGATGCCTTTGACTCAATGCAGACCTGGATGGCCTTGCTGGAGGGTGGGATTGTGTCTGCCTGTGAAGGTGTCCCGGTGTGCTGGTTTTGGGGTGATGCTTCGCGGTGGGCAGCAAACAGGCTGATACAGGCGGTGCAGCCATCGCACAGGATGCTGCTGGCTCTTCTGCATCTGCAAAGTGACTGTCAGGGGAGAGCTCTGTGGCCAGGGGGGCTTGCCGCTGCGGGGAGAGCGGCCGGGCAAAGCGTGTCACATCTCTGGGGACAGAGTGGGACACTGGTAGCAACAAGGTGGGGGTGTTTCAGCCTCGCTGTGCAGCTGCAGCGCTGGGCTGAGTGTGCAGAAAGCAGCCGGGTGGCTGGGAAATGCCCATCGGCCGTCTCCTGGCCGGGGCTCCAAAGGATGCCCAGGCCAAGGGGAAGGACTGGGCTGGGAAGGAGGGGGGGGGGGGGGGTTCACCACGGACCTCTCCCCGTGGCTCCGGGTGAGCTGACTGTAACCGAGCCGGTGCTGAGTCAGCGCTCGGCAATTACTCACTTGCAAAAGCCTCGCCGGCTCCTCCAGCGCCGTGCCGGGCCCCGTGCCAGGGAATCAATTGTCCATAAAGTTGTTAGTGCCCTGCCGGCTGCCCTGCGGGGAGGTGCCCGGGTCCCCCTCTGGGGTCTGCTTCACCACCACCCGCCCCCCTTGCATCCTGATGTTTGCTTCAGCAGGATGAAACGTCCTCCAAGAAATGCCCGGTTACGTGCCGGCTTTGCTCCAGCAGTGCCGCTGCCCGCTGGCGTGGGCATACCGGGCTTTCTGGGCAAAGCCTGTTGTATGATGGATGGAGGACCTGACTCACAGATTTTCATCCTGGACCAGTTTTGGGGGAGGATTGGGTCACTGGGGGGATCAGCTGGACCAGGTCGTGGGCTCATCTGTGCTGTTCACCTCTGGCTTTTGCCGTGCGGTGATGACGAAGCTGCTGTTCTTCCGCACCACGGTTGCGCCTCCCTTGCAAGAAACTCTCGCTTGTTTGATCTGCTGAATTATTGGCAAATTTCTTCAGCAAATAATCCTCGGCTGGCAAATGACTTGCAAACAGCTTGTGGGAGAGGGTTTGCACTTGGTGGTTCACACCGTGTCGGTTGCATAAGGCGGGTGGTGAAGACTGCACGGGGGATGTATGCGGGTGACCGGCAGATTCAGGATCCTCTTTGTGGGCTAAAACTTTACGCTTGATTAATATGTGAGTGTCTGGACAGAGACTGTCAAGCTGGGGAGAATTAATGGTCGTTGGGATCTTGTTGCAGCTTAGCAAGAGGGAGTGGCTGTGGTGGAGGGGATGGTGTAAGCGTCAGAGGTGTAAGATACCGCTCGCCTTGGGATGTGCTGACTGGTTTGGGGTGCTGATGCACCCCATGGGGATGGACCAGGGAGGATATCCACGTGAGCAGGACCCACCCCGGGATGATCCCCAGTGGTCCCAGAGGGACCCAGCATCACGCTTGCTGTCCCTTGTCCCTCCATGGGTGACACAGGGTATTATTCTTCCTTTCTGGACTTACTTTTTGCCACATATTTGATGGGAGAGTTGCTTAATGCAGGTGGCATCATGGCCCCAGACGCTGCGTTGGGGTTTCCATGGGCAGTGGGATATCCTGAGCATGTTCTCCCTGGTGTAAATTAGCCTAACGAGAGGCTACTGCCGTGAGCAGCCTCCTGGGACCCTGTGTAGGAATGGATGGCACGGACTTGGGTTCAACTGGTGTTCGTGTCTTGTGTCAATAAATCCAGATTTTTTAATCTCAGTGGAAATCAACGCCCACCTAAAACTCCCTGATGCTAAAGCTTCCACTGGGGAACGAATAGTCACATTTGTAAATCCTCTCTGTTTATAACCTGTGGTTTCCAAATCATCATTGCTTCCTGAAAAAAACAGTCTGTTCTCCCCCAGCTAAAAATATTTTTATCTGAAATCGTGCATAAAATACCTTCACTCATTCTGAGGCAGAGCCAGGGTGGGGAATGTCTGTGTTTTCCCTGGGGCATGGGGATGCTCACCTTGCCCATGCATGAACCAGAGCTGTCTGGGTGCTGAAGCTGGACTCGTGACCTGCTTGATGCAGCCTGTCCTGGACCAAAACCAGGGAAAACTGCTCAGAAATGGTCAGAAAGGGCAGCGGGAGCTTCGTGACCTCTTAATTGGTGCTCCTCAGAGGGTGAGGTTGAAGGAGCTTCAACCATCAGCGGCTGGAGCATCAGCTCCCTGCTCCCCGTGTGCCATTAGTCTAACGAGTAGAGAACAGGGACCCTATACCAGCTTGCATTGTCCTACACCATATTTGAAGGTGCCCATGGAAAAAGAAGGGTTAAACTCCCTCTGCAAATCTCCAGGTGGGTGTGTGCTTCTCACACTCCAATGCCTGAGCATCATAGCACCGTGCCGGCTTTTTTTATAGCAGTTGCAGCGGTAATACAATAACATGTTACGTGAGAGGTGAAGGGGTGGGGGAAAACTTCTAACAATGGGAAAAAAAAAAATCAAAATGGAAATCAAAAGGCCCTTGTGAAGTTGTGCTTCTCAGGAGCTGGGGAAGCAGCTGCTGTACAACCAGCATAAATACACTGGGCTCGCTAAAAGGAAGAGCTGGCATCAGGGCTTTTTCGGAGGGTTTAATAACAGCCACTACACCTGGATGCCTTTTGTGAAGCCCTTAGGCACTGTGGTTTTCATTAAGGGATTTTGTGGGGTGGAGCGTGGCCAAAGGAAGGCAGGAATGAATGGTCCCTGGCGGTGCCTGCTGTGCACTTAGCAAACCCAGCACTGACAGGACGGTCACAAGCCTGTGCTGGCAGAGGAAAGCCTGGCTCTCCAAGCCTGGATGGCTGGCCCAAAACCCAAAGTCTTCTCCCTGCAAAGGCAAGCGGCAGTCACGGGCCTGGCCTCGCACACCCATACCCTAATTTTCTTCTGTGGCAGGAGAGGGTGGTTCCTAGGAGGCTGCTTCCCTCCATGCTGCAGGGTTGCAGCGTGAGGATGAGGAGGGTGGGGGTTGGTTTGTTGCTTGTTGTGGTGCTGCCTGGATTTTGGGATGACTGTCCTGGAAAGTGCCTGCTGCCCTTTTCGCAATTCCCCTGAGCTCCCCCATTGCAGAGGCGAGGATGCTCTGCCCTCCGGTATTTAGTGCACCTCGTGCAAGCCAAGTTCTGCGGGTCTTAGGTGGTCTTTTTGATCTTGGAGATCCAGAGATGGGGGATGTGGGGGGGAGTCCTTGAACAGGCACTGGCAGCAGCTCTGTGTGGGCATATTCACATGCTGCACTGCCTCGTGGTTTGGGGCGCCGGCCCCCAGCAGCGTGTCTGGCACTCCATACATGTGCAAGAGGACACATGTGTACACGTGCACACCCAGGCTGGGAACAGGCTCTTCCCTCCGTGCTGGCACCGGTGTTTTCCTAACCAAGGAATGCAGTGCGCATCCAGGCAAGGAAGCCTGAGCAACTGGACATGAGCTTTGGAGAACAAGCATTAAATCAGAGCACAAGGGCAGCATCCTGACACGATTATTCTAACAGAGCCGTCGCAAGGAGTGTTCTCCTATAGGATAAAGCAGTAAAAAGACAACCCCAAGTCTGAAAGTAGAGAAATGCTTTGATCACACCAGACAAGACTTTTTTTCTTCTTCCCTTCTTTTCCTCTCATGAACGGTGCCCATCTCCAACCTGATGTCTGTCCCACCTCCCACCCCCTTCCCCCACTCTACCCTTCCAGGACAATTAGTAAAGTGTTGGGTCTTTTGTTTGGATGAATAATTAATTCCACAGCTTTGTGCATGATTCATGTGCC